ATATATACTAATACATTAATATACTAATATATATACTAATATATATACTAATACATTAATATACTAATATATATACTAATATATATACTAATACATTAATATACTAATATATATACTAATATATATACTAATACATTAATATACTAATATATATACTAATACATTAATATACTAATATATATACTAATATATTAATATACTAATATATATACTAATATATAATATACTAATATATATACTAATATAATATACTGTAATATAATATATAATATATAATATACTGTAATATATAATATACTCCAATTTCTAGATGCTGTTTCTAAATATTATTTGAAATAAAGAAAGTGAAGATTTCATGATCATTATCACAAGTACGTATTATTTACGTATAATTACGTATAATTTAATATACGTGATGTAAGACAAACACATTCGATATTCATCATTCAGTGTATAGAGTGCGGCAATCCGTGAAGAAGATAATCGTAAATAAATTTTCATCCACTACAGTGTATCTGTCTTGTTTGATGGATTAACGCTTACGATTAAAAAAGAATTCATCTTCGCAAACTGGATGATCCATTTAGGGCATTAGATCTATTTATTTACGATCGATGAATGATTAACGATTGATCGATTGATGGAATGAATAGAATTAGAAGAACTGTTGGTTTTTAGATATTTAGAATTTGATCGAAATTTTAGTTAAATTAAATTCGATTGACATTTGTTGGTTAAATTAGAATTCTATTTTATTATATTTTTATTTGAAATTATTATATTTTTATTTGAATAGTGAAGAGAAAGAGAAAGAAACATAGAGACACATAGCGTTTGTTTTTAATACGAAAGGAAGCTTTAGCAATTAATCGTTAATTAATTATCTAAAGATTGAAAGACACTTTTAATCATTATAATAGCAGTTAAACTAGGGAATTTAATTCTTACTCAACTCTGCTGTTCTGTAATTGAATTTTTACAATGTGAATTAATCTGTGAACTTACCAAACCCAATAGAATGTTCGTTTCTCCGTTCACATTGTGTCGTAGAAAATTGATTTTTCAACACCTCAACTCGTTGTACATTATTCTTTCTTTTTCTTCTTAATTTAAAATTTAGTTCGAAGTGTTTAGTCACAATTTTTGTAAAATGTCACTTTGGTGACGCGAGCTTTTATTTTTGTTGTACTTCATCAAGAAATTTTTTCATTTCATTTTTTTGACGCGATTTATGGTGTTTGTGGCGATTGCTGGTGTTTCTAGAAATATTTGAAGAAAGAAAAATGAAATTTATTTAAGAAACTTTCAAATTCAAATTTTTTGAAATATTATATCTCGAATTAAAAATATTTAGAACTTTTAAATGTCAGTCTTGCAACTTTTTTGAAGAGATTTTAAGTAGATCATAAATGATTAGATAATATTGTGAAGTGGAAAATTTCATTATCACATAATATTTCCTGAAAATTAAATTCAATTAATAACTTAATAATTATAATAGTATTTATGTAATAGTCGTAATTACTATATAATAATTTTAAAATACCTTAGTACCTAGTCTTCTCTATTTCTTTAAAAATGACTTCATACAAATTTATTATAATATTAATAATAGATTCTTTAAATGTCTAATACAACTTTTGCATGTACGAATTTATCATTTAAACATATATTTAGATATTAATGATACGTTCAATTCGATATTTGAATTTAAATAATAATAATAATTAAACACATACGATAAGATTCGTTGCACAATTTTTTATAATATAATCAGCATTTGATTTAATTTCGAAATATTATAATAATATTGTATTTCATCTATTTTAAAATAATATATTAATTCTCTTTAAATATTTAACTAAAAACAATCAAATAGATACGGCGTACAATTTTGTTGGAATGAATGGAGAGCACGTCTGTTTTAGCGACCACTTGATTATTTTCTCACTTAGTTTACGACACTTAATTTACTACGACACTTAGTTTCATCGTATGTAAATTTCAATAATCTTCGACAAGCGCGATAAGAAATCTTTGATCTTGTTTTCTCTCCCTCCCTCCCCTTTTTTTCATTTGTTATTCTTCAAAGGAACATAATTTATCTGCGATCGAGGAGCGAATAAACTTAATTGCGCAGATAGTTCGATTTTATTACGTACAACGTGTACACGGGTATAACACTTGCATACGTTTGAGAATCAGTCCGATTTGCATCTTGCTTTTTCCTCCACGCGGTTTTTCATTCGGTCGCATAAATCCACTCGAACTAAGGAAGAGAAGGGGCAGCGTTATATCAACGACACACTAATAACGTAATCAACGACTAATAATGTAATCATCGTAATTGAAACACTCCTTTGAAATTCGACGTTCAATCTTCTTCACGATTGTTATTATTAATATTGGCGATTGAAAATCCACGAATTGTATGGCAACGTGATTCTTAATTAACACTTCAACCAGTGAATCTCGAACAATGAATAAAGACTATCACGCATTACATTTATATACATTACAAAATATATATCTCAATAAATATTACGAAATATCTTAAAACAAATCGTAACTTCTTTCTTGTTACGATTATGGCACGAGACTAGACACGCCAAGTTTGATTGGAAATTTACAGATCGTCGGTATTTCACGATCTTTTGATTCCGAGCAGTCACTGGTTTACTATCGACTAAACACGGAGACCGATTTTTCCGTTTTCTGCTTTACCGTTCTTCCGAATATTCCGTTTTTTTTTCTCTCTTACCGTCTCTCTCGATCATTTACAACTATGTAAACGATTTAAATATCAATAGGCGAGCGATACATTATTCAGCGCTGTCTTCTTCTTTTTTCTTTCTTTTTGCTCGCCTTTTTTCCAGGGAATTCATTACTTTGTTGTAAACTGCTATTGGCTCCGGTATTTTATAGCGACACTTCGTTCTACGCTTCGACTCGCGATTATACAACTTGGTGCAAAAAGAGCACTGCGCGTTTATATTTGCACGGTGGAACAAAAGAAAATACGATTGCAAGTAAATGTAATCGCGTTAGAGCTTCTAACGTAAAATGAGCATTAAGATAAATGGTTCTATTGATGAACATCATCTTCGTTGTTTATTCCGCACTTATTTGACGATTAAATCATTAAATTTCCATCAGGGACATTTAACTTTGCAATACGCAAGCTTCTGTTTATTTATAGATTTTACGAAAGGTCATTAAACTTTCTAAAATACGCTGTATGCTTGTAAAATACAAGAATTATAAATTATAAATTTTGATACTTTGATAGGTTTAGTATTAAAAGGTTCTAAAGTATTAAGACAGATGTGTTAGCCAAAAAAATTGGAAATATTCAAATTCAAAAATGTTCAGAAAATTAAATTACTGAAATTTTATGTTTTTGTATTTTTATTATATTATATTTATTTGTATTTATATTTTTATTATATTATATTTATTTCATATGTGTTTCAAATAATAATATAATACTATAAGTATAATTATTATAATATAATAGTATAATACATATATATATATATAATCAATAATATAATAGTATAATATAATAGTATAATTAAGTAGTATAATTGTGATAGTCAATATTTCTTTTTACTATTTTATTATAACAGTTGTCAACAAGTATACGTGTATGGTGTTTGGTGTAGGTAAAAAATGACTAAAATGTCACATGGCGAAAGCTTCATTAAAAAGTTATAATAATAACTTAATTCATAAGAAGTTAAAGTAATTAAAATTCGCGTTGTTTTTCACACCGTATCTGAAACTGTGAAGCAGAAATGTCAAATATTCAGCCTTCAACTTCACTTCCTGTTACGTGAAAAATATTTTATTTTCAACTTTTCTAATTGATACAACAATTTCGAATTAAATCATTTTATTTTGCAATTGTTAATTTAATTTCACTTTTCATCTCCGTTTAAACATGTTAAGTTGAAATTGATTTAATTTTATAAATTAATGTGATATAGTAATGTATAATAATACTATAACGTAATATATAATAATATAATTCTATAATATAATACTATACTACTATATTTATATATAATAATATAATACTATACTACTATATTTATATATAATAATATAATACTATACTACTATATTTATATATTATAATATAGATATTATAATATATAAATATAGTAGTATCTATAATATAATATAGATATTATATTATAGATATTTATATCTATAATATAATACTATACTACTATATTTATATATACTATACTACTATATTATTCTATAATACTATACTACTATAATAGTATTGTACGTAATATATATCCCAACGTATTAAGATTAAGCAAAACTTAATTAAATAGAACTAAAATTATATAACATAATAGGCAGAAACCAAAATGACAAAGTAAATATTCATTCATTCAGATGTAATAATTATTATAATAATATATTAATTATATTATTTTAATATATTAAATTGTTATTATTACTAATGATACTATTATAATACTATTAACTGTTATACCACTATACTATAATACTGTAAATTATATTTAGAAACGTTTCTCTGGAAGATGTACTTTTGTATATTCTACATTTCTAAGAAACATTCCAGCAATAAACCCGTCTTTACAATGATAACACGAAGCTTGGAACCAACAAAATACTGTACATCGTTGATGGTGTTTCATGGTGTGTGAAGAAATGCACCGGACGTTTGAGAAATGAGAAAGCTGGTCAACACGGACAAAATCACCGACGATGGTGATGCTATTTGGACCCCGGTTGCCGATGGAACCACTCATGGTTTAAACATTGGCCCGGGCTTGATATGAAACAAGAGCATGAAAGACTGTCTGCCAGAGGAAACGACGCCGCAGCGAACGATATTCCTCTGAAAAATGAAAAAGAAAAATTCTGTATTTTTATATACTTAGTTACATTTTTCTACGTTTTGTTTTGTACTTTGTAATTGTGTGTCAATGTTTCTTTGGAATTTAGAAATTTGGAAAAACAATTTTATAAACGTGCAAATACGCATCACTGATTCTGGTCGATTCTAAATTAATCATCGAACGATTTAGAAATCTCTGATTTACAAATTACAAGTTGCAAGAGTTGTTTATGATCGTCGATCGATGCAAGACTTACGGCAAAAATCATCAGATACAAAAGAAATGTATGAAATATTCAAGATATGACATAATATTTATATATTATAAACAATAGTAATATTACACGTTACAAGCAATAAAATTTATATATCACAACAAAGTTACAACATTCTGTACAAGTTGTAACGTATATACAGTTAGTGAAATACATCCCTTCGCTTGCATTAAAAAAAAAAAAAGAAAAAAATTAAATTTGCAGTCCGATGAATACAGTGATTGTGATTACATCTAGTGACCGATCGACCAGAAACGATTGTAAAATAATAAATTAAATGATCGACTATGATTTGACGAAGAATCCAGAGCAAGGTGCAGTTACTTTAAGCCTTGAAGAAAAGCACAAGAAGGGAGGAAAGGAAAAGGCTTGACGTTGGCAGATGAGCTGGTTGGCTCATCGAAATCTCGAAGAGGCGATGTTGAATCACGCGAAAGAATGGAGACAGAACCGATTTGTTTGAACTCATCGAAACGTTAAACGCGTTGTTGTATTCATCGACTTTGCCAGTAGCCGGTGCTTGAATTTATCGGTTTTAATTCTTGCCTTCGCGATACGCAGAGGAGGATTATCGAGTGCCTCATCACGACGTCGATTCTTTGCCAGGATTTCTTTTCGAGAATTTATCGGGTAATCAAAGAATGAAGATGATCTCGAATTCTGGATGAAATTTTATTTGAAGACAGGTATGATAATTCCCTAATTTTGTTGAAAGTAATATTAATTGTTGTACGATGTGGCCATTGAATAATAATTGTATGATTATAAAGCGAAGTATAATGTAATTGTGCAATTATCTAAAGTACAATATATAATAATAATATATAAACTATAGCAGTAAAGTATAAAGTATTATATAATATATACTTTAATAGTAGAGTATAAAATATAAAGTATTATATAATATTATATACTTTAATAATAGAGTATAAAGTGTAAAGTATATAAAGTATTATTATAATATTATATATAATCCTCTAATTTTGTTGCAAGTAATATTAATTGTTGTACGATGTAGTCGTTTAAATAACGATTGTATGATTATAAAGTGAAATATAATGTAATTGTACAATTATCTAAAGTACAATATATAATAATAATATATAAACTATAGCAGTAAAGTATAAAGTATTATATAATATATACTTTAATAGTAGAGTATAAAATATAAAGTATTATATAATATTATATACTTTAATAATAGAGTATAAAGTGTAAAGTATATAAAGTATTATTATAATATTATATATAATCCTCTAATTTTGTTGCAAGTAATATTAATTGTTGTACGATGTAGTCGTTTAAATAACGATTGTATGATTATAAAGTGAAATATAATGTAATTGTACAATTATCTAAAGTACAATATATAATAATAATATATAAACTATAGCAGTAAAGTATAAAGTATTATATAATATATACTTTAATAGTAGGGTATAAAGTATTATATAATATATATTTTAATAGTAGAGTATAAAATATAAAGTATATACTTTAACAATAGAGTATATATTATATAATATTATATACTTTAACAATAGAGTATAAAGTATAAAGTATATATTATATAAAGTGTAATGTAATTATACAATCGATTACATAATCACAATCATAACGAGTGTAATCATGAATCAATTAATTATTGTTAAGATGAATATGCTTCCTGTTGAATTATTATTAATTATTGCAACAATTTAAGAAACTAAAGTATGTCGAACAAAAATTCTTTGCGATCATAAAACGAAAATACTTTGTAGACAATATATGTAAATGCTGTATACATTCGTACATACATAAAATTAAAGTTTGTATAACGATAGGAATAACAAGAACTAATAATATGCAATTGCTTATTATTGTTTACAATTATAAAATGAATCTACTTTAGTAAAAATGGAACAGTAATAGAGAATAAAATTAAAAAGTAATAGCTTGTTATTTGCAAGTATAAAATTCTTTTCTTAAATATGCTTTTTAATCACATAATATACCAATGTACAAATTATATTATTATATTATAAATATTATTATACCGGGATATTGTGAAAAATTAAAATATTCAATCGAAGGAAAATCTGATAAAAAAAAATTTGCTTTCAGGCGTGTAGGAAAAGAAATATACTCTACCGGATGAAAAAAAGTCTGATCCATGGTCGAGTATAAAACTTACACTTTGCGAGGGCTGCTAAAAATGTGATTCAATATATCTCGACCATCTTAAAACAAGGTTTTAATTAAAGAGTTCAGAACGGAGTAGACTTATCTACGTTTCTCCGGCAAGCGAAAAGTAAGTTTTTAATCTTTTTCTTGATATTATACAACTGTTGTAAGTGGACTGTAGATTTCTTTTTATGCTTTAACACCAAACATAAATGAAATTTGTTTCACTTACTAAATGCTACAATTACATTGCGAATATTTATTCATAAGAAGTATAAATATAAATAATTATATGCAAACAAATGTAAGTAAATGAATAAATGTATGTAAATAAGTATGCAATATAAAGTAATAACAATAATAGAATATAATAAGAAG